CGACACACTTAGAAAATGCATAAAACCATATGATCCCAATTGAGTATTCACTGGTGTCTATTGGTAAGTTCGTGGCTGCGTTTTTCTTTATTTAGTTTAAGTCATTCTATGTATTTTTCATATATATTTAGCCAGGTGTGTCGTTAAAGGTGTGCCGTTGAGAACCACTGGTATAGATAAATGTAAAATGGGTACCACCAGTATGATAGTGTAAGTGTGAAGCATGAGCTACAGTACTAACGTTAAGGGACTTGACAGTAAAATGGGTTAATGTGGCAGGTAAAATGGGTTAATGTGGCAGGTAAAATGATCACTCATTGAGGTAAAACAAAGGTTTTGTTTCCTAAATTCACAGTTATCCAGCCTGGTGAAAAAGTTTCATTTCATTTTCTTACCGCTAAATCTACAGCGTAGACACACTGATCATGTGATCCAAATATAACAGTAGAGGTGACAGGGTCAAGGACAGGTGAAGATTTAATACTATCGCCTGTTTGAAATGACCATTCTATATGACCTGTTGTAGAGTTGAGCACATATAAACAACTGTCATAGCAACCTGTAAATAAATTTTATATTGTCATAGCAACCTGTAAACATTTTGTACATTGTTATAACCACCTGTTAACATATTGTACATTTTCATAGTAACCTGTAAACACAATGAATATTGCCATAGCAACCTGTAAATATATTATTTATTGCCATAGCAACCTGCAAAGATATTGTATATTGTCATGACAACCTGTAATCATTTTGTACCAGTATATTGCATAGACAACCTGTAATCATAATATTGTAATGACAACCTAAAAGATATTGTATATTGTCATGACAACCTGTAATCATATTGAATATTGTCATGATAACCTATTTTTTCATAGCAACCCCATAAACATGCCGGATATTCTCATAGAAACCTTTAAATATATTGTATATCCTCATAGCAGCTTGTAAACATATTAGATATCGTCATGACAACCTGTAAACATTTTGTATATCCTCAAAGCTACCTGGAAAAATAACATTGCCAGTCAATGAATATATTACTACCAGAATCATTTTGATATCATTCAAAATTTTAACAAAATGCTCTGACACAATTTATTATTATTATGGAAGTATCTTGTGGACGGATCGATAACCTGATCGTACAAATCTTACGGAATATATCTGACATGAAACTGAATCCAACTACTAAACTATTTGACAGTTTATTTGTTTAGAAATCTGATCTTAAGGCAGAGGTGGGAAAAAGTCGCGCGATTTCTGTTCCCACATCTGCTGTAAAGCATAAACATATATTATAAGTTGGCAACCAATCATAATTATGTTCTGGTGCAGAACTAAACATATAGATCTTTCAGCAAAAGTTAATTATTTTTTTTCTTACCAACAATAACATATCGTCCACATTTTGATAAACATGGAGATGATTCTATTCTATCTGGTAGAGTTGTCTCCCATATTACGCTACCACTATCAAGAAGAACGGCAGAAAAACGATGTGAATGAGAACCAATAAATACAACATTTCTTTTATCACTGAAACAAATAAAAACAAATGTCGGAATTAATCTGATCTTTAATCATGGGTACAAAAGAGTAAACAGAATGAAAACAAGTGGTTTGTCCTTGATGAACTCAGAGCCACGGTGGCTAATTGGGTAAGACGTGATATTATTAAATAGCGTATGTGTTTTAATCCATCTAATATCTCAGCCATCCGGTGGCCTTGAGACTTGATTATATAACATTTGAAGTCAGAAAAAGAGAGAGAGAGAGAAATGGGGTTTAACGCCCACTCCACACAAACTATGTCATTTCGGGACTAACACATTGTTCAATTTTATTTCAATATTTCGCTTGTGCGTAGGGGCCTTTAGCTGTGGGAGGAAGTCGGAGGACCCGGATAAAACCCATGAGGTTTGACTGGCGACCCTACTCCTTGTCACTTACAGTCGAGGAATCAAAACCATGCCAGTTGACTCAAGGACAGACCTTATGATACAGCACGCACATGCACTAACCATTCGGCCATCCAATCCCCACAAAAAACAGACAGAAGACCTGCAATAGGCAGATTATGCTCTCACATAATGCATCTGTAACAAAATGACTTCAGAATATTGTAACAATGTTACGATATTTATATTATATACAATATATTAGATTGATATGATGCTTCTTTATATGGGTTAAACATACATTATTTTAACGATGTTACAATATTTACATTATATACAATATATTAGATTCATATAATATATCTTTAATGCTGCCATAAAATCATCAACTCACCAGGTAATACCAACCAATGGAGACGAATCCACACATTTTCCTGTATCATGTTTCCATAGTAACGTTAACATTAACCTATCATCAGTCTGTACAAGACAAGATGGTGGTTTTATTTTAGTTGCCATGGTTTCTGTTATACACATGGATTGATCATTTATCTTTGAATCATTTTTATATGCATGTGCATTGTTAGAAAAGACTGGTAAACCATTATTGATAGTAAAATGGTAGTCTTTATCATCAGGTACACTTTTGCTCACACTAAAATCACACTGGATGTATCTATTACCCCGACTAATAGACCCAACAAAAGGTTTTAAATTGATTTCACCATCCGAGTGAGATATTTTGGAATGTTTGACTGCGTGTATATCTTGTGAAAGTTTTCGTTTCTGTAATAAATGTAGGTTGTTTGTATTTTCGTTTATTTCTGATGTATCAGCAGTTTTAGCATTAAATTCTTGTGTTGTTCTGTCATTGACTTCGTCGTCCTCATCTGTTTTCAATTCCGGATCAAAATGTCTTCCATTTCCTTTCGATTTTAAAGAATCTAATTCTGCCGTTACTTTTGAATTTTTTTGATATTCATTCGAGGTTGTGTTTATTATTGCGCTGTCATGGTAACTGTTGTCAACACTGTTCACTACATTATCACCTCTGTCAACTACATCAGTGTTGTCTAAAATATGACCGTAGCTGTTGACTACATTATCCCCATCATCGTTAACTACATGAACATCATCTCTGTTGACAACATCATGTAGATATTGAGCAACATGAAGAAAAGTTTTATTAACAACAAGATCGAGAATAAGTGGATGTTTTCTCATTAAGACATTGTGTAAATAATCAACGAGTTGAACAGCCTGTAACGATTTACCTCCAACTAGAATAAAATTACTCTTATCTTCTATCTCAATATCACGTATTTCAATGTTTGAGGTTTCGGTTGGGTGGAGAAATTTCTGAAATAGAAAGTGGTGATAAGACAAAATGAAATGAAATGAAAAATAGACCACCGTACGAATGGCTAATTTACCAAGAAAAATTGTCCATGTGGGGACTAACACAAGGATCAATTTTATTTCAATAATTCGCTTGAGTGTAGGGATCTTCAGCAGTGAGAGGAAACCGGAGGACCCGGAGAAAACCCACGAAGTTGGACAGTTGTTGTTTATAGCTTGCAGTGTCTGTGTCCTGTCCGTGAGGTTGTCTTGACGTTTGTGTGCCTTGTCCAACAGCTTTTCCTTTGGTTTTTGTTTGTGTGTGGTGCAGTCCTCCTACACTTATGATTACATTGTTACAGTCATTCCTTATTTTGACTCCAATGTAAATAAATAACTGTGGTTGAACGTAAAACAAATATTTGTAATCACTTCAATGGCCCTGATTACATCGCAGTGCACTGGCGCCTCTACTAACACAAACACTCACAAAAAAGAAAATGTAAATGGTTGATAAAATTGGTACCGGTACTTCCAACAGAATAGTATTTATTCATTGCCATCAAGACAAAACATACATAGTTTAACATGGCACCAATATGCCTGTTGGGCCCTAATGATACTATCTCTTGTTAATTCTGAAAGACTATATACAATGTCCTACCCTCCATAACTGTTTCAACCATTTTGAAATTTCACATAAAGTCGTTGGTATGGTGACCTTGATCTTTGAACTTAATTCTATTTGGTTGATCAGAGAATGTCTATCTATTTTACCTAAAATACAGAAATAAAAAGAAATGAAATGAGGTTCAACGTCCTATTGTTCTGTTCCGAACTGGGCTAATGAAGATGGGCATCTGCCATACAGTATGCTATGAGAGAAATTTTGCCCAGACAGTGGCACTATGGCCTACGCTTATATCAAATTCCAACTTCCGAGGGATCTTTTACATGCACACCAATGTGTACACAGGACCTCAGTTTTTTGTCTCATCCGAATGACTATAAATTGTCCCTTGCAAGGCACCCTGTCCTGCTACAATGACAAGGGGGAACCACGCCGGAAATTCTGAATGAACTTTCATGGCCAAAGCACGGATCAAAAACACCCAACCTCCAGGTTAGCGAGCCAGCGTTCTTATCCACTTAGCCACCATAACTCCTTGACATAAACAGCGGCTGCCAGGCAGGATATGCCCACATTTTGCAAGAGATGGATAGAGAACAAGCTAAAAACAACCACGATTTTTGCCCACATTTTGCCAGAGATGGATTATGAACAAGCTAAAAACAAACGCGATTTTTGGTACAATCAGGGGCAATAATCCAGAAAGTTATGGTCTGAAATGCGCAAATATCAAAAGGGACTGAGATCTTTGGGATATTAAAATATGTTCTAAGTTTCATCAGAATCGGATAAAAATTGTGACCTCTACAGGGTTGACAACCTTCATATTGCATACTTTTACACAATTTAAACAGTTTTTAAAACCGGAAAAAAAAATTGTGACCTCTAGAGAATATTATTTCAATAATTCGCTTGTGCAATGTGGTCTTTAGCAGTGGATGGAAAACGGAGGACACGGAAAAAAACCTACTCCGTGTCACATGCAATCAGGGAATCGAAACCACGGCAGTCGTCTCAATGACAGACCTTATGAAACAGCCCACACATGCTAATCATTCAGCCATGCAACCCCAGTAATAAAGACAAGTAAAACAAAATTTTGAACTATTAAAATGGGATTGTTACTAACCATGTTTAGTGATGGGCAGTGATTGTAAACATGTTATTGTATCAGGTTGATGATGTGATGGCAGATGTGACAATAGATGACGTGTCACTGTCGTCTCTACTGACATCATGTCATCACTAGTAGATGTTATATATAAATAGATTCTATCATTATAATAAATAACACAGCTCTGTTTGACGTCACTCACTTCAACAGCTGCCTGAAAAAATCAACACGGAGAGAGATAGTAATAGGGTTTCACGTCCACTCGACACAAACTAGGTCATTTCAGGACTAACATATGGTTTAATTTGATTTCAATAATTCCCTTGCGTGTAGGGGTCTTTAGCAGTGGGAGGAAACCGGAGGACCCGGAGAAAACCCACGAGGTTGGACAGGCGACCCTACTCCTTGTCACGTACAACCGGGGATTCAAAACCACGCCAGTCGACTCAATGACAGACTTTATGATACAGCGCGCGCACGCTCACCATTCAGCCATCCAACCCCACCAAAAAAAAAATCAACACATACAAACATCAACATAGAAATGAAATGGAGTTTAACGTCCTACTGTTCTGCTCCGAACTGGGCTAATGAAGACGGGCATCGGCACTACAGCCTACTCTTATATCGAATTCCAACTGCCAAGGGATCTTTTATGTGCGCGCCAATGTCTACACGGGTCCTATCCGAATAACTAGACAGCTGTCCTGCACCACTGACAAGAAGAAACTGATTGCATGAAATAAACTAAAAATAATATCCCCACCTTTTGTGTTGTGAGTAGATTGAGACGTTTTCCGTGTCGTTTTATCTGTGTATCTGTTCGATGTTTGTATATTATTTGTCCGTCTGGTAGTAATTCTACAATATCTCCCGTATCTCTCCACACAACTCTGTCATCTTTTCCTCCATCATGTTTTATTTCATCATCAACATAACAAACACGTTCTTTACTTCCTGTTAAAAAAAAAAATTACAAATAAATTATTCCTACCATAATTTACAGGGGATGTTAAACTTTGTAAACTTAGCTGCTGCAAGTCAAACCAACTGCAGTGAACAATTATTCATCAACATTTGTCGCAGATGGATCCCGAGTCAATCTGATTAAAATACATAGAGGATATTTGTCGTTTTGTCGTGAATAACATGTTTTATTTCATCGAGAATGCGTAGCATTCGTGAAAATATAAACGTTTTCTTGCTTAGAGATGAAATAAAATATGTTATTCACGACAAAACGACAAATGTTCTATTTATTTTATGATTTTACAATCATTTTAGGTAAAAACAACATGGACTACTGCTAGCCAGTGGAATAACACTTTCATTTCACTGATAAAACGCGGTATTCCACTACTGATCATATAATAAAGATCTATATTTAGTTTTGTTTTTTATTACTTTTGATGGCCTCAACTACATGAAGATCTGACCAGTTGTAATAGGAGGGGGTGATACGATTGGTTTTGATAATATGACATCAGACTTTTGATTAACCAATCAGTGTTGATGTTTCAAGTGGGTATTTGGAAATATTAATTTTTCTCTGTCTTCGCTGCGAATGTCTACCTACAGTTCCGTGCACCACATGCCAAAAACTCAACCGCAACAGACCATTTCATTGTCTAATCTCTCACATCAACCAGAACGCAGGTTATATAACAACTCTTTCAGATCCTAGTGTAGTGAAGGCATTTTGAACTATAAAAAATGAAACGACATTAGAGTAGAACCCACAGGCAAACAGAATCAAATGATATCCAATGACATATTCAGAAGCAATGGCCAGAGAAATCTCTTTCTGGCCATTGTTGGATTGACTTCTGATACTTGAGCTTTTGAGGGAATGTGTCTATTCTTCCCGTTCAATCAAATCCATCCAAAGTACAGTAACATGACAGCCCTTCCTTTAATCTGGGTCTTCGCAAAAACAGTGATTTAAGGTATTAAAAACGGTGAAAGTATTGTTTGTCTCCAAACAGTATCGTTTACATTGTATCCGTTTTGATAGCAGCTTTTGTCACGCAATTACTTTTTCTTAATATTCTGCTATGCACTGGTTAATTGGCCGTAATAAAGTCGTGAGTCATGATGTAACATATTTCATCCAATTTGGAGCTCTGTTTAAAGCGTAATGATATTGTTACGCAATTAGCTATTGGTTGTTAAACGGACTATTGACCAGTCATAATTTGGAACAGAAATTTGTTTCCATTAAAGCAGTGTTAAGTGGGATTAGGTATAATCAAACGACACACTGCGAGGAGTATGATCCAATGATGATCTGCCAATTTACTCACCTATATGTAAATAACCTTCCCCTTGTGAGAGTATGTTACCATAGTTATCAGTAACCTTGACCTTTGTTCCAGGTAATGGCTCTCCAATGGGAACAGAATCAATGTTATCTCTGTTATAATAAAAATAAATATCATTGAAAGAATCTAATATTATATGCAGAGATGGGATTTCGTCTGTATATTCCAGACTTGTCCGACGCTATTTTCCAAACGTCCTAAATTGTCTGAATAGGAATGTGCCCAATCGGACATCAAGGCATGGTGAATAATATTCAAAATGTCAAAATTACATAATCTATATGTAATACATCTGTTTATGACTGGATAATCTAATCCTATAGGCCAATAGATTTATTTACCACATGATCATCCTTTAGTATTGTTAAAACCTGTAAATGATTTAAATTCCAGCACAATACAGCATCTTACCCAATACTTGATTCACAATAAATGGGATTGTTGCTATTATTACTGGTTAGAAATGCATAAATAGGATATAGAGAAATGGGGTTTAACATCCACTTGAAACAAACTATGTCACTTAGAGAATATCGTTAATCTTATTCAAAATAAAAATAATTTCCTTATGCATTAGTATCTTTAGCAGTGGGGAGAGAGAGAGAGAAATGGAGTTTAACGTCCACTCGACACAAACTAGGTCATTTCGAGACTAACACATGGTTTAATTTTATTTCAATAATTCGCTTGCGCGTAGGGGTCTTTAGCAGTGGGAGGGAAACCGGACGACCCGGAGAAAACTCACGAGGTTGGACAGGTGACCCTACTCCTTGCCACGTACAACCAGGGATTCGAAACCACGCCAGTTGACTCAATGACAGACTTTATGGTACAGCGCGCACGTGTTTAGTAGTAGGAGGAAACCGAACGATCTTGAGAAAACCCATGATAAAAACTCCTTGTAACGAACAAGTTCAAACTTGGGATCGAAACCACGCCACTTGACCCAATGACAGACCTGATCATCTACACTGCTAGCATTAGTCTTAGGCTACCAATTGAACAATAAGTTGCAATATTTAACAAATTTATTCAAATACGATATGAAAGGTTGATATAGAGTAACAGTATAAAGAATATTGTACCTGATCTGTTATTGTGTTATATGATATGAAGGTAACTATAGTAACAGTAGGCCTACCTTGATCTGTTGTGTGTTATATGATATGAAAGGTTACTATAGTAACAGTAGGCCTACCTGATCTGTTGCTGTGTTATATGATAACAGTTAGACCAGCAGGAAACTTCAGTGATACCATATAAATTATATAACTTCACCTTACAATCTTCTCCTAACCATTGGTTTATCATAGATAGGGGAGGGAACTCTTCACCACCTAATGCTAGAATACGTAGAGTTGTCTCCCTTCCTAGTAGTCCAGATCGTAAGACTGTTGGGTTGAATTGGTATAGTAAAGATGGTGTGGCCTGGAATATACGTAAGTTTTTATTTGTGGTAAACAAACAAACATAATGGCTTTAAATTGATATATAATGACTCCCAGTTAACATAGAATTACTTCAAATTGACAGAATGACTTCAAATCGTCCTAGACTTGACTTTAAATCGACATTGACTGACTCTAAATCGACATAGACTGACTCCAAATCAACTTTGACTCCAAATTGACATTGACTGACTCTAAATCGACATAGACTGACTCCAAATCGACTTTGACTCCAAATTGACATTGACTGACTCTAACTCGACATAGACTGACTCCAAATTTGATCATCAAATTTCTGAACCTTTTGAACAAAAGCAGCAGTGACATATTGTAGGCCTAGTGAGTGTCCACTATATGAGCAGTCCTTACTGAAGATTAACCAAGAAAGCCAGTTGTAGCATCAGCCTCATTTGTCTTGGCATGGAGCTGGGGAAACATTCAGGGACTGTCAAATGGTTTATAATGTGTGCACCAAACGTTTTTATAGTCTAATTATCTTCTTTCACAATAATGATTTGTCTCCTTTATTTTAACAAGATAGAGAAATGTGGTATAACATCCACTGAAAACAAGCAAGGTCATTACTAGGACTAACATATGTTTCAATTTTATTTCAATAATTTGCTTGCGCATTGGGGTCTTTAGCAGTGAGAGGAAGCTTGAGAACCTAGAGAAAACCAACTAGGTTACCTCACTGTCCCATACAAATCTTAGATGGAAACCATGTCACTTGACTCAATAACAGACCTTATAATCTAAAGTGGATGTGTTACAACATTCATCCCCCCCCACCCTATCAACAAAACGTCACGGAAAGCCTATGAGAATCGATTAACAGTGGTCTACAAACCTGGAGGACTGTGATATGATTTCTACAACACAATATATCCAGCAACATGGACGGCATTCTTTTAATTTTATCTGGTACAATCAACAAACATGCTCCCGAGGTCAAGGTCATGAACAGGTCAACTATAGAGGGGTCAAAGGTCAAGGGAGAAGTCAGCAACACTGTATCTTTTTCTGATATCTCAAATTTATACCTGAAACAGAAATGAAATGAAATGGGGTTTAACATTCAGCTTTTATGCACCGACTGGGCTAATGAAGACGGGCATGTGCCATAGGCCTACATTGTGCTATGAGGGAAAGTTTGCCCGGACAAGGGTTCTTTTACGTGCACGTCAACATGTACATATAACCTGAGCCACCGCGGCTAACAACCATAATACAACTATCATAATTAATAAATGATAATAATGTTTAGAGAAAAAATGAGAAATATGAAATCAAATCTTAGGTATATGACAAACTTCCTACTTTAGGAATATGTTTGGGTCGTAAAATAATGAATTTTTATCTGTAAAATGAAATGAAATGAGGTTTAACGTCCTACTGTTATGCAGTGTGCTATAAGGGAAATTTGGCCTGGACAGCGGCCTGACGGTCTACTCTTATATCGAATTCCAACTGCAAATGGATTTTTATCAGTAAAAGAGTTCAGTGAAAAAAATAACTTAATGCAACCTAATGTAGTGATATTAGCGTGATAAAATACTTTCTTTCCATGCATCAATTCCTTACAGTAATTATCTCCCCATTCTTGTAAGAAATTACCCCACCCCCTCTCTTTATTTTACAAACTACATTTCTCTTTGAATAATCATGCTTTTTATCTTTGCCAGTGCCTTCACTAGTGAATTTAGTCAACATCATAGGCTAGTGTTTTATGGCCTGCTCGGTATAAATGAAATGTCCTATTTTTCCGCACCAGCCAGGCTAATGACGATGGGTATCTGTCATGTAGTGTGCTATGTGAGAACTTTTGGCCAGACTATTCATCAAATTACAAATGTCAAGGGTTCTTTTATGTGCACATCAATGTGTACAGGGGACCTCATTTTTCATCCCATCCGAAAGACTAGGCACTCTTCCTTGCCGGATCCTTCGTCCTGCACCACTAACTGGGAGGAAACCAAGATGAGGAACTTTCTCAGCAAACACTGGGATCAGATGTCCGAGTTAGTGAAACATCATGGTTCCCTATATTCAAAAGATCAAGAACAAACCCAATCTGATTAAAATACAGATCTATATTTCGTTTCGTTTTTTTATACTTTCAATGGCCTCTACTACATGAAGATCTGACCGGTTGTACTGGTAGTTCGTGTCATGGGTCATATGAGCGGCTTTTGACCCTATAACCTCAGACAATGATTATTCAATCAGCGTTGACGTTTCTAGTGGTTTATCCACAGTTCCGTCCAATGGCGCGCCAAGAAGTCGCTCTAACAGGTAGTTTCATTGGCTAATCCTCACTTCAGCCAAAACGCCGGTAATATAACAAGTCTTCCAGATCCTAGTGTAGTGAAGACAAGTAAAACGAAATTTTGAACTATAAAAAACGAAATGAAATAGAATCTGTGTTTGAATCAGACTGGAACATACCTGAGTGCAAGGATATTGGGTAGAATGCATCGATGTGGTACACAAACTATTTTAGGTAGACTGGTTGTCCCTGATGTAGTTATACAATATGCTAAATCTGATTGGTCTACAATACTGGTCACATGATGCCTATATAAGGCAATAAGTACAAGGTTGTACTGATATAGTTCTGCTGAAGGAATTATCTCTGCTTTATTTTCTGTCATCAAGTCATCTAGTTTCTACAATTAAAAAAATAGTTATTAAATAATTATGAAGACGAGTATGCGAGCATGAGAAGGTGCCCCTATCTCCAAGCCACACCAAGGATCGAAAGCACAACCACAAGCGAGAATTGACCGGCCAGCTAGATGTCGAAGCGCGACACTCTAGACCACTAGGCCATCCCAAACCCCATCCCAAAAGATGAGCATATGCCATATATAGTATGCTATTAGGGATATTTTGCCTAACAGAGATGCTACGTCCTACTCTTATTTCAAATTTCAACTTTCAAGGGTTCTTTTACGTACATGCCGGGGGGTTGAATCGTTAGCGCATATGCTTTGTATCATAAGGTCTGTCATTGAGTCAAGCGGCATGGTTTCGATTCCCCATTTGTACATAACAATGAGTACGGTTGCCTGTCCAACCTCGTGGGTTTTCTCCGGTTCCTCCCATTGTTAAAGACCACTACGTGCAAATGAATTATTGAAATGAAATGCAACCATATGTTAGTCCCAAAATGAAAAGTGTGTGTCGAGTGGACGTTAAACCCCATTTCTCTCTCTCTTTCACGTACACGCCAATGTATACACAGGGAATTGGTTTTTTCAACCCATCCAAACAACACAACACTGTCCTTGCCTGGTCCTCCATCCTGATTCCTGACCCACTGACAAGGGGAACCACGCCGGAAACTCCAGAAGAACTTTTTCGGCCAACACAGGGATCAAAAACGAATCCGTCAGGTTAGCGAGCTAATGTCTTACCCACTGAGCCACTGCAGCTCCCTAATTGATAGAATGGTAAAACTTTAAAAGCCATATTGTATTACGTACCTGTAGTTGTTCTGACTGAACAAGTAAAAAATTAACTTGTAATTGGTTTAAAACATGAGCAACAGAATTCCTGCCATCGTACACGAACGGATAAAAACTACAAGATGTTTGTAATACACTGTAAATAAAATAAAATACAATTCAATCAGATTATTGCGTTCACACAATAAGATAAAGTCAATCACAATGTCCTTCGTACCATTAGCAATTGAATTCAACAAAGATAAACATTAAAATATAGGATTATGTTGACAGAAAATCACAAATATTGAAATATAAGATTATGTGAGAGAATATCACGAATATAGAAATATAAGACAATGTTACAGAAAATCACAAATATTGAAATATAACATTAGGTGACAGAATATCACGAATATTGAAATATAACATTAGGTGACAGAATATCACGAATATTGAAATATAACATTAGGTTACAGAATATCACGAATATTGAAATATAACATTAGGTGACAGAATATCACGAATATTTAAAGACATGTAAACTGGGATTTTTGTCTCTCCTAACATTTACCCAGCATTCCACTGACAGAGCCTTATGACACACCTTTATAGGGGTTTCGTGCAAACGGAGGCAGTATAACAATGAGACAATGAGACAAGGAATTTCGCGCAATTTTGAAACCAAAAGTGGTAGTGTAATGTCACCAGACCCATGTCACTCGATTCGACCGGACTTACTGCCCAAATGTACCAAATTCCAGCCTCAGGGCAGACCAAGTTTAGTCAGCAACCTCGAACAGACAAACCAAGCTAAGTTATTTCAGGACTAACATATGGTACAATTTTATTTCAATAATTCACTTGTGCGTAGGGGTCTCTAGATGTGGGAGGAAACCAGAGGACCCAGATAAAACCCACGAGGTTGGGTAGGCGACCCTCTTTGTCACATACAACCAGAGAATTGAAACCCAAGCATTAGTTAGACCACTTGACCCGGCCCTCACCCTTGTCTGGCCATAAGTAAACCTGTATGTAATAATAAAATTTACCTGAGTAAAATTGAGGGAAGGTTTATCGTTGGTTCAATACAAACTCCTATCACTCTCTGACTGGTCACATGACTTCTTATTATACTTGATATCTGTAATACATAGAATATGGTGAGAAGGGAACAACAGTGGATACAATACAGAGAGAGAGAAAGAGAGAGAGAGAGATGGGTTTAACATCCACTTGACACAAACTAGGTAATTTCGGGACTAACATATGGTTCAATCTTATTTCAATAATTTGCTTGCTCATAGGGGTCTTTAGCAGTGGAAAGAAACCGAGGGACCCTGAGAAAACCCACGGGGTCGGACATGTGACACTACTCCTTGTCACGTACAAGTGGGGAATCGAAACCACGCCAGCTGACTCAATGACAGACCTTATGATGCAACGCCCACACAGTAACCATTCGACGACCCAAGACCAGCTGGGAGAAAGATGATGGATTGGTATTGGTTTCATCAGTTAGTCCTTGTTGGAAGGAACCGGGGGACAGCAGGGGATGAAATCATATCTGTAACAGATTACGTGATACATCAGCTTCATGGCGAGAATAGTTTGGAGAGATGTGCCATGGTGAGAATAGTTTGGAGAGATGTGCCATGGTGAGAATAGTTTGGAGAGATGTGCAATGGAATGGAATTGCAGCTTCATGGTGAGAATAGTTTGGAGAGATGTGCCATGGAATGGAATTGCAGCTACATGGTGAGAATAGTTTGGAGAGATGTGCCATGGTGAGAATAGTTTGGAGAGATGTGCCATGGTGAGAATGGTTTGGAGAGATGTGCGATGGATTGAAATTGATAAGAGCGAGGGAAACAGGTTTTAAGATCAACTCTACATGCTAAATCTATATTTCATTATCGACTGGCGTGGTTTCGAATCCCCGGTTGTAGGTGACAAGGAGTAGGGTCGCCTGTCCAACCTCGTGGGTTTTCTCCGGGTTCTCCGGTTTCCTCCCACTGCTAAAGACCCCTACGCGCAAGCGAATTATGTAAATAAAATTAAACCATATGTTAGTCCCGAAATGTCCTAGTTTGTGTCGAGTGTACGTTAAACCCCATTTCTCTCTCTCTATATATATTTCATTACTCTGGATACACTGTATAAAGAATCAGATGAAAGCATACTAGATTGATTATAAATACCTGTTCCACTCTACTCCATACTTCACCATAAGTTAAACTTGACTTTATTTTCCCATCATCGTAGGTAACAGCGACTTTATCATGATAGGTAGAGACACTCTCTTTCACTAAACTCAGTAAACTTCTTTCCTCATCAACACCCTCCATCTTTACAACATCTTTTAAGACAAAGAAAATGTTGAGAGTTTTAATATTGTCATCTTGTTGGTATTAACAAACAAAGACATCTATAATCTAGCAGATATCAAATTGATTTTCATTTATGATTTAAATTAAAATTTATTCAATTTTTCAGAGTCAATGAAGTCAAGAATTTCCAATTTTACGCACAAAATAAAAAGGCACAGTATTCCAATACACGTAATCAAAATAAAATTTAAATGGATATGCATGTGATTTAATAATAGACAAAAAGTGAAAATTAAAAAAATATTATTTCTCAATGAAACAAATTTATTCTGTACAAATTCCACATCTTAATTAAAAACAAATAACTGTATTTATTTCCAAAAATATAAAATAAAAGTCCAAGTTCAAACCTATGAATTTCACAAAGAAACAATTTTACCTAAGTTCCTTGACTACATAGATGATCATGGTAGATGAAGCACTGACAACAAAGAAATATTGTTCATTGTTAGATGTTAATTTTCTGACACCTGCACGTAAAAGCCTTGCTTCTTTATTCTTAACCATTGACAGATGTAAACAATAACTCTTTAAGAATGGAGGCGTAAACAGTATGCTCTAGAATACACCCTGTCATCCAGGCGTAAATCATATGCGGATTTTCTCAATTTTGTTCCAAATTTTTAATATTGATATTTTAAGATTATTATAATTAATTGAATGTGATTAATAAAATTATCTTTATCCGTCTAAGTAGAATTTTAGTGGACATTTTATTCGACAGAATAATGATTTGTATCTCATGTTTGGTAGTGGTCTCCCCTTGACATGGTAGGCGGCGCTATTTAAGCAACAACGATTTATGAATGAAATGTCGACAAACTAAACGTAAAAATACAAACTAAACTAGTAAAATGTCGATAAAAATTAGTGGAACACAGACGACCGATATTTTTAAAGATGAGAAATCGGGAAAGCTGAGAGAGGTTGGAAATCAGGCAGCTTGGTCACTATCCTCTTGTAAACCAGGTAGATCAAAATGGAACATTTCAATTTCATATCGTAGTACATAATTAATAATTAAAATATTACATAATAATATAATATAATATAAATAGGATCTGCGATGGCTCAGGGAGTCAGTAAGGCCCTGGCTCGCTAACCACGAAGTCTTGGATTCGCTCTAGATGTTGGCCGAGAAAGTTACCGAGAAATTCACCTTGTCCTAGAGTAGGATATAAATATTTACTTGCCTGTTGTAGTGTTCTCTAGGATCATTGTACTCTCTACTAAAATGATGATGTTTAATTTCAAATTTGAACTTTAGACGAGTGGAATCAAAGTTCATGACCTCAAAATTGACCTAACCATGGCCATAAATGTACTTTCTGTCAACCAGTCAAAATACTCACTAATTCTCATTAGTTTGACAATCAAGTCTAATAGTTTTTAAATATACAGTATGTCAGATCCACTTTTCTTAAAGGAGCTAAGTCACTAATATTTGGGACCTAGAAATTGACACAAATGGGTCGAAACGCATACAATAATGTAATATGAATGTATATATATTGATTTACATTCAATCGTTTCTGTTTTTACTGTAATTTCTAATCAGTTAGGTTCGGCGAAATAAGCCAGTATTCTCAATCGAATTTCAATCTCTAGCAACTGGTTATTCCAGTCTAGGCCGATAGTATTTATTGGGCATGCTGTCCAGATAAGAATATAGCATCACCGTTTGACATAACTTGTGGAATATTCCTAGCCTTGTTTTTCGAGTCCCTTATTACAAATAGCGCTGAAACGCATTATGGTACACGATTTGTGTACCAATTGTAAAATGTTTATTTTGTCTTTAAATATTGGATATCAGAAGGCCATCTTTTCCCGTTAAGATCACAACATCAATGTTGATTTAAACCGACAAATAAATTGTGTTTTCAATGTCAAAGATTTTGGATGATATTGAGTTAGAAACTTAGCTTCTTTAACCTGTTGTTTTTTGTCGGCTTTAGCTGATTGATGTTTAATCTAGCCGATTGGTAAAACAATAAACCGGCATGGAATCATAAATCAATCTACTTTCGGATAAATTACAACAGGTTAATTATTACTTAATCATGCCTTGACGGGAATCGACCATGTGGTTCATAATCCGAGTAATTAGCACATTCAATGGAAATTTTGATAATCCAGTAAAAAAAACAAGCTTGCTGATTTAAATAACACGTTCAGTAAGCTGCCTTTGTGAAAATAAGACGTGGCGAAAGAAGACAATCTCGTCTTCAACGCTCTGTATTGATTCCAGGTACCGGTAGATATTAAAATAATAACTGGATCATACATTGATGGAATCCCTGACCAGTTGTTACATGTAGGTAAATTTAAATCTTCAAATCCCCTGATGGAACATCGTATACACTGAAAAAATATATATTTTCCCTGACAGAATCTCCAATGCCAAATTCCGATGACACGTAACAATTTTATTTTTTTTTTATTTTGCAGGTTTTGGTGTTGAACAGTTACGAGATGAAGGTCATGATACGTACTGGCAATCAGACGGCCCCCAACCACACCTCGCTAATATCCAGTTCCGTCGTAAAACAACCATCTACGATATCTGTTTCTTCGCTAATTATAAAGCTGATGAAAGTTATACACCGAACAAGTAAGTTATTATACACTCCACATGGATTGTAAAGTTCTACACCTAACAAATGGGCTTTAGATCATAAGGTCTGTCATATGGTTTTCGATTCCTCGATTGTAAGTGACAGTGGGTAGGAACATCACCTGTCCAACTTGGGGGTTTTCTCCAGGTCAGCCCCACTTCTAAAGACATCTACGTGCAAGTGAAGTATTGAAATAAAATTGAACCATATATGTTAGTCCCAAAATGATCATGTTTGTGTCGAGTGGACGTTAAATTACATTTCTCTCTCTCATTTTATTGCCCATAATTTTATTTTCTATTTTCAGAATTTCTATACGAGCTGGAAACCATTTTAATGATTTAATAGAAATCGAGCAACTAGAGATGACGGAGCCAGTTGGCTGGATGTCCATACCTTTAAAAGACTCGTATGACCAGCCAATTAGAACATTTATGATACAAGTAGCTATACTTTCGAATCATCAGAATGGACGAGACACCCATGTTCGACGAATTAAAATCCGTTCACCAACTCAATCGTTTAATCTGTCCACCACAGGTTTACAGAACTTCACTAGTAAAGAATTACAGATGTATTCAGTTGTTCGTTGATTATGGCTGTTGAGTTGTGTTAAAACTAGAAGTGTGTACTTTATGACATCTCTCCCGTCATCAGGAACGGTGGATGTGAATCGTGATATTAAACACATAAAAATCAGACACGTTTTTAGAGAAGGATTATTTGAGTTAATGGAAAAGACACAAATTATTGAATAAAATTGTACCATATGTTAGTCCCGAAATAACCTCTCTTTTACAAATTTCAACACAGCCAACAGGGAGTCTACATGTATGGGTTACTAAAAACAATGTCTCTTCAACTATAAATCAGGGTATTTATTGAAAGTTGGGTGGTTTAGTAGCTTAATGTGTGCACATTAGATCATAAGGTGTGTCATTTAGTCAAGTGGCAAGCAGTAGGGTTGGGTGGTTTAGTAGCTTAATGTGTGCACATTAGATCATAAGGTGTGTCATTGAGTCAAGTGGCAAGCAGTACCTTAAGGGTTTTCTCTTGATCCTCCAGTTTCCTCCCACGCGCAAGCAGATTAATCAAATGACCTGGTTTGTGTTGAGTGGACATTAAACCCCATTTCTGTATCTTTTTATTTGAAGTTATATTGATTTATATTCACATGTCATCACCATTCCATAATGTTCATCTGATTTGAATACAGTTACATGTACTGTATATGTCTATGAACTTGGATCGCCAAACTATAAATGTTCATTATCTTACTTACATTATCATACAATGTGTGGGTACCATTCTCTACTAATTAGCTAATTCCTCAAATTTTTCCTGTAAATGACTGGGGGGGGGGGGGGTAGTCGAATGTTTTAACGTGTTCATATTAAATTGTGGTTTCAATTCCCGGCTTGTACGTGACAATGAGAAGGGTCACCTGTCCATCCAACCTTGTGGGTTGTCACCAGGTCCTCCAGTTTCCTCCCACAGCTAAAGACCCCTACACGCAAGCGGATTATAAGAATAAAATTGAACCGTATGTTAGTCCCGAAATGACCTTGTATGTGTCAGGTAGAATCTCTGTATATGACTATAATAGTCAGTGCAGGAGAATCGCACCGGACACAACTCCTGAAGACAAAACTGCAGACAAGATACACAAGCATCGACTGCCTGTAAAATCCCTTGTCTGTTAAGATACATTCAAAACGGGGGCCATTGGTGGCCGACTCACAACAAGGGAGAAAATCAACGAAAACAGGAATAGTTTGTGTTAAGAACTGTCATATGTTGACAGGATATCTCAATATTACCACACGGAAGAAAATGGTTTATAACCAATCAGTTAAAGATGCATTATGTAAGATTTAGAGCTGGCCGTTCTTGTTATAATAGTTTAAATATTGATAAGGAAAATTAATATATTGAAAATTTCATTCAATTTCTGGTACTTTATTCTGGGTGAAGTTTGAAGATGTAGCCTAGATTGTTTATTATCCATTTTATCGTAAAATTTTAAAATCTCGTGGGTGTTCAAATCCATTTAGATAATTATAGGCATGTCATGTGAATAAATGTCTAAATAATAGTATACATATATGATTTGAAGCTAAAAGAAAGAACGGCAAATCAACAGATTTAGCTCTTACATAATACATCTTTAATAGAAATGTGGCAAAACGCTAAGACTTTATTTTTTTTTATAAAAATATATTTTTAAAAATGTCTGACAAATAATAACAACAAAATACAATTAATTTAAGTTTAAAAACAATACATCTCTGATGCATGATTGGTTCGTATTCATTATTAAAACATCATTCAGTTTACAATCAAAACACAAACCCCCAAACGAAAAACCAAGGTCCCGTGTACACATTGGCGTGCACGTAAAAGATCCATTGGCAGTTGGAATTCGATATAAGAGTAGGCCGTAGCTCCGCTGCCCGGGCAAAATTTCCCTCATGGCATATGCCTGTCTTCATTAGCCCAGTTTAGGAGCAGAACAGTAGGACGTTAAACCCCATTTCATTTCACAAACCCCCAAAAGAAATGAAATGGAGTTTAACATTCTATGTTCTGCTCTAACTGGGCTAATAAAGACGAGCATACGCCATGCGATGTGCTATGAGGGAAATTTTGCCAAGGGATCCTTTAGGTGCACGCCAATGTATAAACAGGACCTTGGTTTTTCATACCATCCAAACAACTAGACAGCTGTCTTTGTCCCTGCACACACAAGGGGAAACCATGTCTGAAAATCCTGATGATTACGGGCAATGTAGGAATCGAACACGCGGCCTCCAGACTAGCGAGCCAGCGTCTTATCCACCCTGGCTCCTAAAACCCCCAAAATGGGAAAAGTCTCTAAAATGATTGAATCCTAAAATTGACTATTAAAGGATATTAAAGGTCACAACCATTAGATTTCTTTTCTTCAAGATCTTGATTAAAAACAAAATAGCATTTGAATCATATAAGGGGGGTTGGATGGCTGAATGGTTAGCACGTGCGTGCTGTATCATACAGTCTATCATTGAGTCAACTGGCGTGGTTTCAATTCCCCGGTTATACGTGACAAGGACAAGGGTCGCATGTTCAGGATGTTTTGTTTAATATTTCAAAACCTAAATTATTTGGAATCAAAAGCTTTAGAAACGTACAACCAAGTACTTTTGACTCTTAAATTAGTCTTTTATCCGAAGAGAATCAAATTACCGGTAATTGGTGTGGCCAATATCTATACACAAATATCGATCTAGGCCATAGAAATATTACAAATTGATGTGGCCAATAACAAACCACCAATATACATACACAAATATCGATCTAGACCATAGAAATATTGCAAAAAGAAAAGGCCATGAGGTTCAATTAAAATGTAGTTAAGGAGAGGCGGGAATGCCTTTTTCTGAATTCCCTGAAAAAATGTTATATAGAATAAAGAAATCTTAAAAACAAGCATTATGAGTGCCAATCTGATTAAAATACAGATCTATATTTCCTTTCGTTTCGTTTTTTTTTACTTTCGATGGTCTACACTACATGAAGATCTGACCGGTTGTGCTGGTTTAACCCACAGTTCCTTGTATCAAACGCCAAGAACTTGCCATAACAGACAGTTTCATTGGCAAATCTCTCACGTCAACCAGAACACGTGTTATATAACAACTCTTCCAAATCCTAGTGTTGCAAAGAGAGGTAAAACGAAATTTTGAACTATAAAAAACGAAACGAAATAATATCTCATCAGATTGTATGAGTGGAATTAAGAAGAGTGGATTGAACCATGGCAGTGGTAATATACAGATCCTTCATATGTATTCATATTTATACAAAACGGAGATCAGAAATTGAGATTAATATTTTGAGTAATAAATTCAGTTAAAGGTGCATTATGTAAGATTAAGATAAAGAACTGACCATTCTTGCTATAATAGATCAAAAATCGAAAATGAGAAATGATTATTGATAATTTTAGCAAAATTACTTTATTCTGAGCCAAGTTATGAGTTTTAGAAGATAGTCTCTAATGTCAAGTACCATTGCTACAATAATAAACAAAGTCTTGATTATCCATTTTTAAATTAAATTATTAAATGAGGATCGTTTTCAATCTATTAAAAATCACGACCATTTATGTAACATTAGAAGAAAGAGAAGCAATAAACAAATTTAGCTCTTACATAATGCCCCTTTAAGCAAAACTTAAGTTTTCAATATAAATTCCATTTTTTTTTCTTTCCTTTTGATGTGTTTAAAAGTTAATCACTTTTTTCAAGTTATTGTCACTTGTTTTATTTTATATTTTTTCTATGAAATATATCGATTGTCGTTTCATGACAGGGTCGAAGGTCAAAATCACAGAAACCAACAGCAAACTTGTCCACACCTTTATATATGTCTAAACCCCGTCCAATTTTAATCACCCAGCCGGTATTTAACCTGAAATATATAAAAATATATATATTAAAAGGCGTATGGTTCTAATCTTTGGAACCCTAAAATAGAAATGAAATGAAGTGAGATGTTCAGCTCGGGCTGGGCTAATGAAGACGAGCTTATGCCATACAGTGTGATATGAGGGAAATTTTGCCCGGACAGCGGCACTACGGCCTACTCTTATATCTAATTCCAACAGTCAAGGGATCTTTTACGTGCACGCCAATGTATACATGGGACCTCAGTTTTTCGTCCCATCTGAATGACTAGACAGCTGTCCTTGTCAGGCCCTCTGTCCTCTTTAAAATAGAAGAACATGGGTCTAAAAGCACATATTAAGGGGAGGCACTGCTCGACATATATGAATTTTAAAATAACTGGCTTCTAATAATGCTATCAACTTGAAATTTTCAGGAATTGTTCACATCGACAAAATAGGCTAATCGGCAGTTTTGGGGGAATCTGCTTTACTGGTTACCATGGAAACAAAAAAAATCATTTTTACTGCTTAAAAAAAATCGTTCTCTGAAAGTATCAAAGGTAGAAGCCTGGAACTTTTTTTAAAATGTTCCTAGGACATTTCTCTGTGCAATTATCAATATGGTGTTGTTATTGTGTCCTTACATGTCATTCTATTCAACAAAACAAAAATTATGAAAAATGTTTTCAATGAGAGATTTCAAATGCCAATTTACTACACTAAAAATTCATTTAGAGTACTGAAAATCCTTATTTGCATGGAACTAACATTACTTAAGTATGTGTGTAAGTCTCAGACATATCTGTTGTAAACTTTTCAAGAACGATTTTTTGTAAGGTTGTCGACTGTTGATATTTTACTTTTTGAGAAATTAAGACATAAAGAGGTAAAACAGCAAAATTTGAATTGCAAGAGTGTTCAAAAGTGCATTTTTTCTATCATAAACCACTTTATATGTATTTTCTTTAATTACAAGTGAAATAAAAATGAATGAACATCACAAATATGCAAATATAAAAAATCGATAATTTGAGTCAAAATTGACATTTGTCGACCCTTGCCTCCCCTTAATGTAATATGAATGTATGTAAAGTGGTTTATATTCAATTGTTGAAACAATATTATAATTTCTAATCAATTATGTTCGGTGAAATATGTGAACAGTCCAAATTGAACATCAGTCCTTTATGCCTGCTTCATCCATTCTACATTTTTTTTAGTATTATTTTGTCATTTGTGAATCAGTCATAACTAATTGTAGGATGAGTTTTTCTTTGTTCATTAAAAATGGCAACCGAAACCATAGAATACACGACTCATGTACCGATTTTAACATGTTCATTATGTCTTAAACATTGGATATTAGGATCCCATATTTTGTCAAGGCACGTTCACATCAATATTGATTGAAATGGACCACTATTGAATTTTAATTTGTGTTTTTAATTTTAATTTCATGGAAAAATTGAGTTACAGGTTTAGCTCCTTTTATATCTTTTAATAAACTGCAAAAACCTTGCTGGATTTTTATAATACAGCCAGAAACCTGAAAGAGAACTCACTAAATCTTCTGAGAGAAGAAGTGATGACTTGTTGGGAATGTTTGTTAATAGACAGAAATATATTGAAATGGGGTTTAACATCCTACTTTTCTGCACTGACTGGGTTTATGAAGTCCGGTTGAGTTTAGTCACAGCTCTACGAATCCGGAAAACTGAAGGGATTGAATTGTAGTAATCGCTGGACACAGAATTGTAGTAACCCTGTCACAGTTCTGTCCGTCCCAATTTCAGATGTGTTGTGAGCAGAATCGTGACATAATTAAATGAATCAACGTTAGAGATAGTATTATATTCAGTTTGCCTAGTCTTCTTGTCTGATAAACTTGCTCAACTGACTTCTTTCCGGGATTCAGTATGGTATCCCCTCGACAGTGGTACATGACGAGGGGCCTCGCAAGGACTTAAATGAAATGGGGTTTAATGTCCTACTGTTCTGCTCTGAACTAGGCTAATGAAGACAGGCATATGCCATACAGTCAGCTATGAGGGAAATTTTGCCTGGACAGCGGCACTACAGCGTACTCTTATATCAAATTCCAAATGTCAAGGGATCTTTTACATGCACGCCAATGTGTACACAGGACCTTGGTTTTTCATGCCATGTGAATGACTAGACAGCTGTCCTTATCAGGCCCTCTGTCCTGCATAACTGACAAGGGGAAATTACGCTGGAAAATCTGGATGAACTTTCTTGACCAATGCAGGGATCAATCAGACTCTTACCCAGTTAGCAACCGTGCCCCCCCCCACCCCTCGCAAGGACAGTGTCTAGTTAAAAGGTAAGGATTAGAAAGAACCGGTAGACCCAAAATGTCCCTCTTAGCCCTCTGCATGGTATTATTTATCAGCCCCCATGATCTACATGGATGACAGGCATTATGATCAAAAAACATGTTAAACCACTCCGCAACCCATCCCCAGGACCAAATTGACAACAGCTTTATAACCTTATTTCTCTGTCATGTAAAGTAGAAGAATACTGGATATCTAAGTCTATATTATGTTTCTGTAGTCCCTGTTTTACATGTCCTAATTTTTGATGTTGTTGATCTTGAGCTTGTGGATGCTATAAAATAAAATGTTTTAGTGTAAGGAAAGAAAACTCAGTGACATGAAACTATTGGCATTATTCACCTTTTGTTCTAACATAAATACAGTAAAAGACCGTTTCTTAAATATGATTATAACGCTATCTGATTAAAACACAGATCCAATTTCGTTTCGTTTTTATAGTCAAAATTTCGATTTTACTTGTCTTTACTACACTTGGATCTGGAAGCGTTGTTATTTAACTCGTGTTCTGATTGAAATGAGGGGTCAGCCAATCAAATGGTCTGTCGAATCGAGCGTTTGACCTTTTTTCCGCATAACTGGGGGTAGACATTAGCGGCAATAGAAATCAAAACAAAGCAAAAGTAGATAAAAAAATACATGGCGGTTGCTAATTGGTTAATCGAATGACTGACGTAATCGGGTCAAATGTCGCTTGCTTGATACCTGACGTCATAGAACGTGAACTCCCACTATAACTTGTTAGATCTACATGTAGTGTAGGCCATAGAAAGTATAAAAAACGAAACGAAATATAGATCTATATTTTAATTAGATTGGATTATAACGCAGTACTGACTTCTTTATTCCCGACGGGACGGGGGGTCTATCTATATTGACAATACCACAATCGGATTAAAATACAGATCTATATTTTGTTTCGTTCTTTTACACTTCCGATGGCCTACACTACATGAATATCTGACCGGTTGTAGCGATAGGTCGCATCAGAGGTCATACAAGCAGCTTTTGACCCTATGACATCAGACATTTGATTAATCAATCAGCATAGCACTGATGTTACTAGTGGATTACCCACAGTTCCGTGCAAAACACGTCTAAAGTTCGCCGTAACAGACCGTTTCATTAGCTATTCCCTCACATCATTCAGAACACGTCAATGATAACAACTCTTACAGATCCTAGTGTAGTAAAGACAAGTAAAACGAAATATTGAACCGAAATAGGATCAGATTGATAATACCAAACAGCTGGACCTCCCGGTTTAACTAGACTTTATTATGACAAAGGGAGAAGATGACCCTCCCTATCTTCTCACAACAACAAATCTTAACTCTATGTTTTATATATATATATGTCTTTACCTTTTATTTTATAATTCCTTCATATGAAAATAATCTTAACTAAATTAACCTGGGCCCTGTTTCTCGAAATTTTAACAAAAGATAAAATCCAATTTTAGGAGATACTCCAATTTTGATTGACTAAGCACTAAAATCAATCTAATATTATCCAATCAAATTACTAAAATTTGGATTTTATCTTAGTTAAAATTTCGTGAAACAGGCCCCTGGGTGTTAAATTTGTAATAAACAACAAATGAACAAAGGTTAATTAGTGATAAAACAGGAACCCACCTCTTCCTTACTCGTCAACAATTTTATTTCTTTCACAGGACATTTTAACTTCACAATCAATTCACAAAGTCTTAATAAATTATAAACCTGCAATAAACATAAATAAATTAGAACATATTGAAATATTTCACTCAAATTACTGAATTCTGAGTGAAGATATAAGAGTTTGAAGATTTGACAAGAAATAGCCAATTGTCATGTATCAACATTAATCGATTATATGGCGTGGATGGTCCAATCCATTCAATATGTCTGCCATCTGATGTTCTAGAGGGTTGATTATAGGCTTGTCATGTGAATAAATGTCGAAATAATAGTTTATATAACATTTGAGGCCATAAAAACAACCTGCCTAAATTAAACATGCATTATGCACGATCTATATCTGCCTATTGCAGGTATTTCTTTAGACCTGAATTGTTATCTAAATTATTAATTAGACATTAATTAACCTATCCAGACCATAATCAACTCTAGATGGCATCGCCAGCCTGTGATCTTTAGTGGATTATGAGCCGATTTACTGCATAACTTTCCTTCACGATTTAACGATTAAATGGATAATTGAGACTACGCTGTTTATCGTACTGACTTTAGTAATGATGATCAGGGCTAGCCGGAAATTTCAACCACTTAGTTCTCGGTTCATAGTGGATCAATTTGAATGAAATTTTCAGCAAATTGCCATTACATTATCTAGTTTTTAACTATTATAGTGAGAACTGCCAACCCGTTATCGAATCTCCCATGATGTATCTTTAAAATGCCTGAATGATTAATACAAAAATTTAACAATAAAATGGATGTCATGTTTTTCCAGTACCATTGCTATGCTAATAAACATTCAACGCTACATCTTCTAACACTCAGAACTTCCAATAAAGTAGTTTGAATGAAATTTTTAATATATTCATTTTTCATTATCTAGTTTTTAACTATTATAGCAGTCAGCTCTTTATCTAAACCTCACATAATGTATCTTTAATATTTTGATGTTTTACGTACCTGATGTGTTGATCTAATGTAAGGATCTTCTATTTCTACACACGTAACTCGTTCATCCAAAAATCGTGAGAATAATTTCTCGTAACTATTCCCCAGCGATCCACTGTCTATGTGAATCTGTTCATGATATTTACCATCTATAAACAGATAATTCAAACAGATTTTACACTTGAGGGACTCATATACAATTGTTATTCACAACGGTTAGGCCTATTTTAGTTAGGCCTATGTTAGTTAGGCCTATATTGGTTAGGCCTATGTTAGTTAGGCCTATGTTAGCTATGGGGGTTGGATGGCTGAATGGTTAGCACGAGCGTGCTGTATCAAACGGTCGGTCATTAAGTCAATTGGCGGGGTTTCGATTCCCCGGTTGTATGTGACAAGGAGTACAGTCGTCTGTCCAACCTAGTGGGTTTTCTCCGGGTCCTTCGGTTTCCTCCCACTGCTAAAAACCCCAACGCGCAAGCGAAATATTGAAATAAAATTGAACCATGTGTTAGTCCCGAAATGACCTAGTTGTGTCAAGTGGATGTTAGAACTATATTATGTCTATTGCAAAGGAGAGAACGAGAGGGAAACGGTTTAAAATATGGTTCCATTTTATTTCAATAATTAGCTTGCGCGAATGGTTAATGCGTGCGCATTGGATCACAAGATCTGTCATTGAGTCAAGTGGTGTGGTTTAGATTCCCCGCTTGTACATGACAAGGAGTAGGGTTTTCTCCGGGTCCTTCGGTTTCCTCCCACTGCTAAACCCCTACGTGCAAGCAAATTATTGAAATAAAATTGAACCATATGTTAGTCCCGAAATGACCTAGTATGTGTCGAGTGAATGTTAAACCCCATCTCTCTCTTACGTGTACACTGGACTTTGTTTTTGTTTTTTTGTCAGATTGAAACCCAACACCTGTTCATCAATAGGGGAAAGTAACTTTTGTTAAATTTAAATCAGAGTTAAAAACACACTTATTTAAATATTACTGCAAACTGTGATGTTACATTTGTAAAATGCTGAGAAATATCACCGGATATAATGAAGCGCTATAGAAGATGAAGATGATGATGATGATGATGATGATGATGATGAATAATAATAATAATAATAATAATAATAATAATAATAATAAAATAATAATAATAATAAAATAATAATAATAATAATAAAATCCACAATCATTGTGTAACAGGTTGTTCATATATATATACTCTTCAAAAAAAAGTAAGGGATATTGAAATGCAACTACCTATGCAGGTTGTGATATGATAAATAGTCATGGACACTTGACATGCTTTGAGAGTATGTTCACAGATGAAGAACTTATCGCCCGAACAGAACCACTGAGCTGCATGTGCGACACGCAATAGCCCCATACACGTGGGAGGGGTTCATTGTCAAATTTGACACTTCAAGGAAGGGTTGATGAAAACTGCCGCTTGCTGGTTTATCCTATCCATGTTTGCTTTCCTATCGGTTCTTGCATAAGATTTACTGTTTAGCTTATCTTTGCTTTAGTGTGTTACGTTTAAGATCGGGAGACGTGTTCGTCGACGTCAACGTCAACCGACAACACTGCAAGAATTGGCCGTGGCACTGCAAGAGGAGTGGGTCAGATTGGCCCAAATCGTGATTGGACAGTTGATTAGGAGCATGCCACGACGAAATCCTGAAATTTTCACTTTTGACAGTGTATCTCTTTGCGAGTGAAATGGGTCCGTCAGATAAGCCGCCCATATGAACTGTTTATGTTCATGTGTAGGCAATTGGCCTGTTATTAACATACACTGTTTACCTCTAATAAAAACAGCAGTGCATTTCCGCAGTTTTGTATTGTTTCTGAATATCCCCTACTTTTTTTGAAGAGTATATATTTGAGACCTGTGGTAGCAAAAACAGAAAAAAATATCGCGTAGCCCTATAGAAGATTGAATATACCTTCTTTCTCCTGTTGAACATGTATCTTCAATTCTTCAGCTCTTGCCATATATTCCTGTATTTTATTACGAAATTTTTCTTTCTTAGATTCATCTTTTGTTCCTGAAAAATATGCATAACTGATGATTATCCATTCTTGAAGTTCCATTAGACAGTAAATAGTAGTGTGCTTTTAGCAGTTTTAAAGTAGCTAAGTCTCTAACTCAATATCATCCAAAATCTTCAACATTGAAAACACGATTTATTTGTCAAATTAAATCAACATTGATGTTGTGATCTTACCAGAAAAAGATGGGCTTTTGATATCCAATATGTAAGACAAAATAAACATTTTACCATTGGTACACGAATTGTGTACCATAATGCGCTGAAGCCCCAGTTGTAACATGAGACTCGAGGGACGAGGCTAGACACATTGCACCAAATCAAACGGCGTATGTAGACTGGAATAACCAGACGCTAGAAATTTGCACTTGATTGAGACTGCTGGCTTATTTTGCCGAACATAGCTGATTTGAAATTGGAGTAAAAACGGAAATCATTGAATGTAAATCAGTTTATATACATTCATATTACAGTATTATATGCGGTGCGACCCACTTTTGTCAATTTCTAGATCCCAAAAAGTAGCGATTTAGCTCCTTTAATTCATTAAAATTTAACTAGTATAATAAAGACAGAAAATCACCAATTTTTAATAAAAAAGGGAATAGTACGTTTTCCAAGGAGGGGTGGGGGTCAGGTAGGGTGTCTTTTTGAACAGCAGGAAATGAAAATAGGACAACTTGATATCCTCCGAAAATTGTCCCAATCTGGTTCAAATTCAAAATCAACAAGAAATTAAATATTGAAATGAAACGGAATTCGAATTCCAACTGTCAATAGTTCTTCAGGACAGTGTGTTTCCCGGGCCCTCCGTCCTGCACCAATAACAAGTTGGATCCATGCTGGAAAATCCTGAAAATTTTATAGGCCAACATCGGGAGCAAACTCGAGACATCCTAGTTAACGAGACTGTGTCTTACTAAGACGCTGCGGCTCCTAAAATTACCTTTCAAAACTTCTAATAATAATTGTAGGCCTTCTTGATAACATGTCACGGCTTCATCGAATCGTTTGTTTGTGTCTAATTCTACCGCTCTTCTCAACAGACTGATAGCAGACGTCTCGATACCAGCTAATTTATTCACATCAGACGACATCGTAATACATTGGATAATAAAATCTTGAACTGTTGAAATAAAATAATAAAACATGGCAGACCTGATGCAAAAATAAGAAACTATGACGCCTGATCAACATTTCAAATAAGTTTGCAGTTTGAATCACAGAAAGAGAGAGAGAGAAATGGGGTTTAATGTCCATTTGACACAAACTATGTCATTTCGGGACTAACACATGGTTGAATTTTATTTCAATAATTCACTTGCACATAGGGGTCTTTAGCAGTGGGAGGAAACTGGAGGACCCAGAGAAAACCCATGAGGTTGGACAGGCAACCCTACTCTTTGTCACGTACGACCGGGTCGAATTGAAACCCCACCAGTCGACTCAATGACAGACCGCATGATACAGCGCGCACATGCTAACCATTCGGCCATCCAACCCCCCAGATTTAATCAGAATTGAAATGGAATGGTGTTTACCGAACCACTAGACACTGTTCCTTGTCAGGCCCTCCATCCCCCACCACTAACAAGGGGAAACCACGCTGGTAAAATCCTGAGAAACTTTATCTGCCAACACTGAGAGTGAGCCCCGGGCAGCATCTTACTGTCGCTGATAAGCCACTGCGGGTCCAATCAGAGAGAGAGAGAGAGAGAGAGAGAGAGAGATTAACGTCCACTCGACACAAACTTTGTCATTTCGGGACTAAATGGTACAATTTTATTTCAATAATTCGTTTCATGTAGGGGTCTTTAGCAGTGGGGGGGGGGGGTGAACCGGAGGACCCAGAGAAAACGCACATGGACAGGCGCCCGACTCCTTGTCACGTAGAACCTGGAAATCGAGATAACACCAGTTGAATCAATTCAATGACAGGCCTTATTCTGATACATGCAGCGCACACCGTGGCACACGCTACCAATCGTTATCAGAGAGCTCAGCATTGATGTTTCCTACACTGCCGTTCATAAACATGTAGGCCTGTTCATAAACTTTAACATTTTTACTGTAATTGTTACATAATCTTTGACTTTGTAAGTTTGTTTACGTTTGATGAGTGACATAAACCGAATGTTTTCAATAAGTCAGTGACCTCATTCAAATTCGTGAAATTGAAATAAATCATTCACACATAATACCATCCTAGAGCCTGGCTTGATTCTTTGAACTGTAATAAATTCAGATAATTACCGATAATATTACTGTAATATCAGCCTAAATCAAATTAACAATTTTAGTTTGAGGACGCCGCCATTTAACTGTAGTCTTGCGCTCCAAGTCTCTTTTTTAGTAAGAATAAACAGAGTAAAAGAGAAAATTATCTCTGACACAGAGTTCTGCCATTAATTGTTGGAGTACGTTGTAGGCGTGTCAGTATCGTTATTGGTGCTTATTATTCAGGCTGTGTTTTAAGAAATGTTAGCACTATCTGCTACAGTGGTCTTTGTGTATTGCCTAGAAAAACAATCAGAAGATTTGAAACCTCTGTAAGTATTAGTGTAGTCATTTCGAGGGACCCTTCTACATGTATTTCTATAATGCAAGAAAAGATAATTTTGTCCAGGTACAGCTTCATCTACATGTATAGTATTAGCAGGACCAATTTCTACATCCCACTGAGTTGATGCTTGATTCAGTTTCTATCAAAATTAATCAAGTCTCTCTGATGCGGGGGGGGGTTAACGAATGGGGATGGCCGAATGGTTAGCATGTGCTCGCTGTATCATATATAAGGCCTGTCATTGAGTCAACTGGCATGATTTCGAATCCCTGGTTGTACGTGACAAGGAGAAGGGTCACCTGTCCAACCATGTGGGTCTTTTCCAGGTCCTCCGGTTTCCTCCCACTGCTAAAGACCCCTACGTGCAAGCGAATTATTGAAATAAAAGTAAACCATATGTTGATCCCAAAATGACCTAGTCTGTGTGCTATATGAGTGTTCGGTGTGCTATATGAGTGTACAGTGTGATATATGGTCGCACGGTGTGCTATAATGAGTGCATGGTGTGCTATATGAGTGCATGGTGTGCTATATGAGTGCATGGTGTGCTATATGAGTGCATGGTGTGCTATATGAGTGTGCAGTGTGCTATATGAGTGTGTGGTGTGCTATATGAGTGTGTGGTGTGCTATATGAGTGTACAGTGTGATATATGAGTGCACAGTGTGCTATAATGAGTGCATGGTGTGCTATAATGAGTGCACGGTGTGCTATGAGTGCATGGTGTGCTATATGAGTGTGCAGTGTGCTATATGAGTGTGTGGTGTGCTATATGAGTGTACAGTGTACTATATGAGTATGAGTGTACATTATGCTATATAAGTGCATGGTGTGCTATATGAGTGTACAGTGTACTATATGTGTACAGTGTGCTATACGAGTGTACGGTGTGCTATATGAGTGTACGGTGTGCTATATGAGTGTACGGTGTACAGTTTGCTATATGAGTGAGTGTACAGTGTTCTATATGAGTGCTGTATGCTATTTGAGTGTACCATGTGCTATATGAGTGTACAGTTTACTATGTGAGTGTACAGTGTGCTATCGCATGTACGGTGTGCTATATGAGTGTACAGTGTGCTATATGAGGGAAATGTTCACCTGACAGCAGTGCCAGTCTACTTCTAGTCCCATATCAAATTACACCCAACTGTAAAGGGTTCTTTTACTTTAGTACCGAGTCGAGTCTCAAGTCTTCACAAAGCCTGAGCCCCTTCAAATCGTGCCCATTCACCAATGAGTTGGCAATTCATGGCAAAGCGAATAAAGTAAGTTAGTGTTATGCCCCCTTGCCACGACTCGAGTCACTCCTAAGCTCTTTCAAATCGCGAGTTGTCACGACTGCCAATTCTGAGTCTAGTCTCAATAAATTTTTCAAGTCACGTCGCAAGTCAGATCATTGATGCAACTTAGAATCACGGGACTTGAGTTCCCACCTCTGCGAATAGACACTGTACTTGCCATGCCCTTTGTCCTGCACCACTGACAACAGAAAACTAGGTTGGAAAATCGTGGGGAACTTTCCCGACTAACCCATAAATAACAATGTACTTATGTACGGGATCGACAATGGGACCCCAGTGGGGTATGGGCTCTCCACAACGAATGTCCGTTGTGTAAATTGCAGGGAATGAAGGCTTGATCTCCGGAGTTCTGAATGGATGGAGCCCATATCAAGTTGCCCACCTGTTACCAGACTATCGCGTGTAGGGAGGGGCCCTCCTGAACATTCTATCACAGCACATCACATAGGAAAGCATAACTAGTCCAGGCAAGATAGAAAAGTGCGGGCAGTTGCTGCAATAGAAATGCCGATCACGGTTTATGGTCGGTTTAGACGTATATTATGACCCAAAAAAAGTCCCAGTCCGAAACCTGTGCCCAAATGGGTCAAATTGGCCAAAATCCAAAATGGCCACCGCTTTTGGCTTGTAAATTCCAATTTCCACCCAATTATCACAATATGATCGAGTTTGGTATCAAAATATACGTTTTCGGGGTAACTGAATCCATTTCCATACACAGTTTTGTGATAAGTGTTACCGCTGGGTCAATATTAGGGGTTATTCAAGATGGTGGTCAGTTGTGGCGGGAAAATTCAAATTTTACATAAGGATCAAGTTTGGTGTCAAAATATATGTTTTCGAGGTAGCTGAATCTATTTTTGTACATATTTTAGTGATTAAGTGATTCCCTGTGTCAATATAGGAGAAATTCTAATTTGGGATTTAGATCTCCGATTAGGGATTGCAGATTAATGATACTCCTACCTTAGACCTAATACAATGACTTTCATCTAGTATCAACTAAATTTCATTTGCAGTGTCTTCCACTTCACTGCGGTAGCGGCATAGGGGTATGTCGACTGGGGTCACTCTCAGGTCACTGCGGAAGCTGGTCGTGCCCTTTGAAATACGTGGCACAAAATAATTCAGATGTTCAGACACAGATGGATACAGTATCACCTGTTTGTCAGATATGCAGTGAACCATTTAATAATGAACAACCCATAGTTATTGGTCAATGTTTTAAGGTTAATGAAGTGGAGGAGTCTGTATCAAGGTCTAAAGGGTCCGCGGTGCCAAAATTCATTTTTGCGGACCGTTGTCTTTCACATGGTCTGTAGGAAAGACAGCAGACGGTCCATTACAACATATACATATAATCAGTGACCGCTGTTACAACAGTAAACAGTAGAACTCGGAATGCCTATTTGTTTTGGGACAAGCCAAGACAGGACAAATGACGACTTGACATTAATCTAGTTGTATTTAATAAATCCGCATTGAGGCTGGTGTCCCTAAATAGATGACACTCATTAATTACTTGCACATCTAACTTATTTATAAAACATCTAGCACAGAAATTGTTCTTCACTCTGTGTAACCTAAGCAAAAAAATCTAATTGCAGAGGCATGCTGGCTAGGTAGTCAACCGCCTACCCTGCCCTCATCAATTCAAAAACAAAAGAAACTCGAAATGGTTGATAACGCTCGAATCCGATGAGATTTCCTAACAAGGTATATGGGAGGGAGCGGGGGTGGCTATGGGCCTTCTCTTCCGAAAATGTGCCATCGAATATTGTGCCCCCTTTTTCTGCTGTCCTTTCCTTGTCCCAACTAACTCCAGAGATACTACAATGTCCGTTTTTCATTGATGATGTAAGGGCCCCATACAAGCTCAATCAGACCATGATTTCCACGGATGACTTTCAGAATAGATTTTACAGACGGATTAATATTTCCATAATATTCAGAATCAACTAATTTGTCTTAGTTTTATTTATTTATCTAAATGAATTTAGGAAAATTGCAACACGGGCGACGGGGACCATTATTGCCGGTTAGCATACTCAGGGCCAATACGCTAACCGTCACCACGAACTCTAATGACATTTAATCTGTCACCAGTAACTTCCTTGGCCTGGCTTAAAGTGTATTTGGATCGTCGTCTCGTTCTTGGGGTTGTCAGTCTACTTTCAATTCTACCTCCCCACCCCTACCCTCATTAGGGAACAGAATCGAATGAAACTTGGCAGGTACCCTTTATAAGGAATACCAGTCCCTTTTGATGTTTGTCTGCGATATCACCTCGGTGGAAGCGGACGTAAAATACAACTAACTCATCTTTTGATGTTTGTTTTTCTTTACTCACAGGTCGTTTAGTTCTTGACTGCAGCTAACTATGTTCATGTTCGGATCTTTGTGACTTAGTCATAATCCCTTAATCAGGTGTCAGTGTATGGTATGCCATGGTATATACGTCAAATCGCTTCTACCATGTGCCACAGAACTCAAATTTTCCACGATCCTACCCCACCCCTCCTAAAGTGCCCTAACTTTGGTCTGCCTACCCTCGGAGGCCCTAGCACGCCCTTGGCTTATTGTTGCACTTAGTCATGACTTTACACCAAGTTTTATTCTGTCCTAAATTTTCTGCCATTGAAATTGGTATCTCCGCTCATTATTAACGTAAGCCAGGAATCTTAATCGGATCATTATTGTCGCCCCCCAATACCGTTATCTTTCCGTCATTTTGGGAATGACGATGGGTAGTTCACTGCATATCTGACAAACAAGCGATATTGTATTCATCTGTGTCTCAACATTTGAATCAGTTTCTGAAATAAATTCACCACATGCTTCAATAGGTTTGGCCATCTTGGCTCAATTTTCGAGGTTGGTGATCGAAATCGGACACGCCCACGACCCTGCGTCCACAGTGGGCTGAGAGTGACCCCTTTCGTCATACCTGCTACGCTGCTTCCGTAGTGACCAGTGGTCGACCAGAGCGTCTAAATGAAATTTAGTTGATGCTTGATGAATGCCATCGTATTAGATCTGAGGCGAACTCGACCACTCGTAATCCACAAATCTCCAATGGGATTTCCCATTATTTTGACCCAGGGGAACCAGTTAATTACCAAGATGAAAAAAATGTGTCTAAAATGAGATCAGCTGCCTCCAAAACATATATTTTGACACCAAATGTGGTTATTTTGTAAAATTCGAATTTTCCCGCCAAAACTGGCCGCCATCTGGAATTATTTCCCAATATTGACTCCGCGGTATAACTAATCACCAAAATGTGTATGGGAATGGGTCCAGCTACCTCGAAAGGATATATTTTGATACCAAACTCAATCATATTATGGTAAGTGGATAAAAACTGGCATTTTCCAGTCAAAACCGGCGGCCATTTTGGATTTTTGCCAATTTGACCCATTTGGGCACGGATTTCGGACTGGGACTTTTTTTGGTGATAATATATGTCTAG